CCTTACACCAGGTAGAATGGCCAAAATTAGCAAGACAGGAAACAACGTGTGTTGGAGAGGATGTGGAGAGAGGGGAACCCTCTTACACTGTTGGTGGGAATGCAAGTTGGTGCAGCCACTTTGGAGAACAGTGTGGAGATTCCTCAAGAAATTAAAAATAGAGCTTCCCTATGACCCTGCCATTGCACTACTGGGTATTTACCCCAAAGATACAGATGTAGTGAAAAGAAGGGCCATCTGTACCCCAATGTTTATAGCAGCAATGGTCACGGTCGCCAAACTTGAGTGGCATCAAGGTTTTTAAAAGGTGCCAGGTAGTTCTAATGGGCAGCCAAGGTTGAAAATCACTGAGAACAGAAGAGAGGTTGTGAGAATAAAGAAGAGGTTTTGAAAAGTTTAAATATGGTTTTCAAAATTAAACAAAAAAAAAAAAATCAGCAGAATAATTGAAATAAAAAGGAGTAAAAAAAAAACAATGCCCTAGAAAGTAGGACAGGGGGCACCTGGGTGGCTCAGTCAGTTAAGCTTCTGCCTTCGGCTCAGGTGACAAACCCAGGGTGTTGGGATTGAGTCCCGCATTGTGCTCCCTGCTCAGCGGGAAGCCTGCTTCTTCCTCTCCCTCTGCTGCTCCCCCTGCTTGTGTTCCCTCTCTTGCTGTGTCTCTCTGTCAAATAAATAAATAAAATCTTTAAAATTAAAAAACAAAAAAAGAAAATAGAACAAAAAGAGACCAAAACATGAAGAAAAAAAAAAAAAAAAAGATGGAAGGGTAATCTACCAACCAGCTGGAGTTCCAAACAGAGCAGAGGAGATAGAGGGAGAAATTTTTATCAGAACTGAAGGCTGTGATTCTCCAAACACTCACTGAGAATCAAATCAAATAAAATAGTAGTGGACTCATAGCTGAGTCTCCTCGGTCATATCATTAGGGAATTTTAAAACAGCCACAGTGAGTGAGAGAGAATATCCCAAAAGACCTCAGACATTAATAACAAAATACTAGGACATATATAAAGGAACATAAAGGATATTGACATCAGAGTTTTCTGAATTCAGAAAAAAAATGGACCAAAGATTTTAGATTCTAAGAGAAATTTATTTTAAGTGCCCATACTCACAGGGCACTTAGGTGGCTCTGTCGGTTAAGTGTCTGCCTTCAGCTCAGGTCATGATCCCGGGGTCCTGGGATAGAGCCCCACTTCAGGCTCCCTGCTTCTCACAGAGACTGTTTTTCTCTCTCCCTCTGCCTTCTGCTCTCCCTGCTTGTGCTCTCTTCCTCTCTCTCTGTCAAATAAATAAATAAAATCTTAAAAAAACAACAACAACAACCCATACTCAGGGAAGCCATCAGTGGTGTTCAGGCGTTGGCAGAAGGGGCAGGGTGTGCGGAGTGGGTGGGTGGGGGTGGGGTGGGTCTGGGTTGGTAGTTGAGGTGGGGAGGGTTGGGTCAGTGGGTGGGGTGGGTAAACTAAGTCTAGATGTAGACATACAAGGACTCACCTGTGTTACCTCTCCTTCATCTTTCCCTAGGAAGTTACTGCAGGGTGTATTCTGTGAGAAGAAAGGAACAAATCAAGGAGAAAGACATGGGACCCTGAAATGGGACATTCTAAGTGGGAGAGCATTAACGGCGGTCATACAATTAGACTCCTGCGGGGAGCACTGCACCTGGAAGGGTACAGGAAAGAGAGAACTTGACTGCTAAAATCTGATATAATGAAATCATTTTTTTTAAAATAAATATATGTGAAGATACTAACAGAGAAGAGAAAGGTAATCAGAAGCTCTGAGAAAATAAAGAAGCTGTCTAAGCAAGGGAATTTAATCATAATACTGGCATTTTTAATTCTTTGACCTCTGAAATCTTCTAATGTAATCAATTTCTCTTTTATTTTTCTTCTGTATTTTCTGCTTTTGATATCATGCTTAGAAAGGCCATCCCTTGGGGTGCCTGAGTGTTGTTCTCAGTGGGTTAAGCGTCTGACTCTTGATTTTGGCTCAGGTCAAGATCTCAGGGTTGTGAGATTGAGCCCCCTGTGGCTCCTATGTGGAGCACTGCAGGGAGCCCTGGCTAGGGCTCGAGCCTGCCTAGTGTTCTTTCTCCGTTCTTCTGCACCCAGCCCCCACCTGAGCCCACGAGCTCTCTCCTAAAAAAAAAAAAAAAAAAGAGAGAGAAAAGAAAAAAGAGAGGCCGTCTCAGCTCAGAATTAAACATACATTTACCTATGTTTTTCCCTAGTACATTTATTTGTTGATTTCCTTCAAATCTTTAAACCACAGAGAAATTCCTCCGGAGCACTAGTGGGGGTGCTGTTGGGGACCTGCTCTGTGCGGGGCACGCAGGACCTCACATGCACCTGCACAGGCCACCTGGGGCCAGCAGGACTTGAATTTGAACTCAACAGATGCGAATCTTGGCAGAATGCCTTGGGATCTTGCTGGCATGTGGGAAAATGGGAGACATGAGAGGAGCTGCTCCTGGCTTCACTGGCTCCCAAGGATTCTGCCAGAGACAGCTTTCCATGGCCTCCTGGTTCTGATGAGGTTTGAGGCTCTCTGCCTCCCTCCCTGGGTGCAGAAGAACGGAGAAAGAACACTAGGCAGGCTCCGAGCCCTAGCCAGGGCTTCCTGCAGGGCTCCACATAGGAGCCACAGGGGGCTCAATCTCACAACCCTGAGATCTTGTCCTGAACTGAAACCAAGAGTCTGAAGTCAAAAGGTAGTTAAAGCCCCACTCCTTCCTCAGACTCCGGCACAGAGAGATGGCAGAGTTCCTGGGAAGCTGCTTCCAATTAGCCTGGGGCCTTTAGGACCATTTCTCTGGCTCTTCCTCAGAAGGGAGGCTGCTTGAAAATGTGGTTAAATGAAAGAGTCCCCCCAGGAGAAGGAACCCGGCAGATGCCTCTCTCGGGGGTGTGAACGCCACGGATTTCTCGCTCTTCCCCTTCCCCCTCCTAAGATGGCTGACATCTAGGCCAGGCGAGAGCAGGACATTTTCCAACAGGACGACAAAAAACACCTAAAAGCTTCAGTATAAAAAGATTCCAATTGCTCGGATGTAGCGGGGCCTCTGCGGGAGTGTTGAGTTAGAGACAGGCCTGAGAGCCACAGCCCCACAATACCACAGGCACAACCGCACCCAGCGTTTGTGGAAGGAGGATCCCAAGGCTGGTGCAGGGTCTTCCGTGCTGCAGCCCTCAGACCCCAAGAAGAGCGGTTGGCTTCCCATGTGGGCGGAGGAGGGCCGGCTGTGCTCCTCTCCCTTTCTGTGGCTCCAGCCTCTCAGAGTGGCTCAGTGGAGGTAGGCCTCTGGAGCAGGTGTCTCAAGGACAAGCCCCACCCTCCTCCCTGGGGCTGGTGTTTCCGGACCCGGCAGGACGCAGACCCAGCAGGGAAGCCAGGAACATGAAGGAATGACCTCTTAGTACTTCGGTGCAGAAATCAAGGCTTGCAGAGGAAGTGGGGCAGATGAATTGACAGAAGCAGATTCGGAGCTGGGCAAAAAAGATGCCTTTTTAAGTAGATAAACCTCAATTTTGTTTGAGTTTCTGGTAATTAGGTTTCTAATCCTAGCCACCAAGCGAAAGCAATCTTCATATCTATTGCCCAGCCCAAGCTCTGAGGGGTTAGGAAATCTCGATTCAAAATGAGACCATTATGATAGAATGAAACAACAGAATGTCTCAGCCGACCCCTGCTATATGCTGGTATAAAGAACACATAAGACATCTCTGCTATGTGCCTGCCAGATACATACACCTTACAGTATTCCTCAGTTCCCACTAAACTCCATTATGATTATCTTATTGCTCTGGTTTGGTAGGTGAGCAAAGTCAGGGCGAAGGAACATGAAGAGGCGGTGACGCCTAGCAATTAAGAGGATGGGCTTGAGAATAGACAGTTGTGGGTTTGAAGCTGGACCCTACCCCCTTAAAGGTTTCTGACTTTGCTTTTAAGCTTCTTACTAACTTCGGTTTCCTTGTCCATAAATCAGGGAAAATAATGTCCACCTTTTATAGGGAGTGGTGAAATAATGGTGTACCAGTGTCAGGTAAGCGGTAAGCCTTTCAGATGCTGAAAAAGGAAAAGCTTCCTGGTTAAGTGTGGCCACCTGTTTTCCTCAAGACTTTACCCAGAATCCCAAGAACTAGTTTTGGAAGTCTGTCACATCTGGAAGCACATTTTCATGGAGTTTGAGCACTGGTACATGTCCCATCATGCCTTGATTATTAGCCTTGATCCGGACTTTTGGCCCAAGTTGCATTGTCCTTAACTTGGAAGCACCTAGGACGTCCTAACTATGCAACAGTGGTGCTATTTAGAAAATTGAAAAGGAATGTAGAGGCACTTTATAAACTGTAAAGCCGGAGTGTAATTAAATAATTACTTAATTTAGTAGACCTCACACCCAGCACGGAGTCCAACCCGGGGCTTAAACTCACAACCTTGGGATCAAGACCTGAGCTGAGATGGGAGAGTCACAGGCTTAACCGACTGAGCCACTCACGTGCCCCAAGGAGATATTTAAAAAATAACATCCTAAATATTACTAAAGGCTAGTTGAAGTATTCAAAATTTTGTGTAAATGGATCAACTGGAAAAAATACAGAGCATGAATGTGGAGTCAAGACCTGGGCCTCACGTCCAGCTTTACTCCTGACTCAGGCTCCACAGAACCTGCATCCCAGCTTCCACTGGGGAAATGCTGTAGTGAATAAGCTCTTAAAGAGGGCTTGAGAAACAACCACTGATAAAAGCATGTTCTTCTTGCTTGCAAAGTTTTATCTTTACCCTTATCAAGCTCAATATCTATTACAAATGAGGGATCCTATGACTGAGTCTCTGTAAATGGTTCAATTTCTGGTCCTAATTTTTCTACCCAAGTGACACCCTCCAATCATGGTCCAGGCTTAGGAAAACTTCATTTCCCAGCTGCAGAGAGATACTCCCACTTCCCACATACATATCCTCCAAGACAACAAACAAACAAACAAACAAACTCCTATTTCCAAAAGTTTTATTTCATGTATTATTCGATGTTAAACTTTCCTAGGCTCTGCATCTCACGTTTGTCAATGGGCAAACTCTTATTAAGAAGAAACACGGCAGTTGAGGATCCAGAATATAGGTTAAATGCCACATGCTTCCTAGCCATGCTTAAGGAGCAGTTTCTGGCCAAGAGAAAAAGAAAGGAGCACTTGCAGAAGTGAAGGATACACCGTATGTCCTCAGACACACACTCAGAGAGCAGAGAGGTTGATGACTCTCTTTCATACGAACATGTGGGCCAAAATAGAATGCCCTTTATCCTCCATCACATTCTTAAAAAGACAAGGTGAAGATAGCACACATTAACTGACCTTAAATTAATGTCAAAGAAATGAGAGGAAGTTAACGCACAAAGAAATACAATTCACAAGAGAAAATATGCAACGTTTTATAAGCTGCATACATTTCAACAAAAAAGTTGGGGACACAGATTTAGTTATTTCGATTTTTGAAAATATTTATTACAAGATTCCCTTTCCCATATTAAAAGGAAAATATATGACTGGAGATATTCCGAGGAAACTAGGTTAAACCAATTCCCAAGTCCTCATCAAATAAGGTATCAATAAAGGACAGGTTATTTTGGAACTTAAAATTAGGGAAGCCTATACACAATTTAGATGGGGAAAGAGAAAAACAGAAGAAAAAGTGAAAATGATCGTTTACATTTTACAGTCTTTAATTAAGCACATAAAACTGTACTATTTAATATATTTCTCCATGAACTTTTTGTGAAATTCAGATCGCAGTGTATCATTTACAAATCTTTTGTCTTTCTTCTGATCATCTACACCTTTCGCACAGTTCTTGAAAACAACATCATCATCCCACCTAAAGGGAAGAAAAAACAGAAGGCTTACATGTCTGATTCAGGAGATAAGAACAAGTGAATTGCAAAGCCTAGTCATTACCCAGAACAATGCTCAACATGTACTTTATCTGCTGCAGCAATTACACCCGAAAGAACAAAGTCATCCTTAATAGGTTGTAATCGTGCTTTACTACAGCAGGAAGGGCAATTCTTATTTAGAACATATAAACATTCTTATTACTTCTCCTGTATAAGGAACTTTGAGTCAAGAAGCAGGAATTCATAGGCTTAATTACATCAATATTTAATGTTTTCAGGTCTAAAACGAAGAGGCAACAGCCCGATTAGCATAGATACTTCTAGATGATAATAACTGACCACTTTACTGTAGTTTAGATTGCATGGTTTTAAGGCTTTTATACTCTCTCATCAGTTGCCATTTAGTAATCATCCACTGTAGTATTTACATTTTATGGCAACAAAGGAGAAGAAAGTACTGGGGTAGAATCATTACGGTTCACAGACTGGCCCAGATCTCCATTTCAGTCTGGAGGAAAGACTGCACTGGGTGACCCCTCACAGGAGTGACAGAGTATAAGGAAGCATAGCTTTCTTCTTTTTAAAGATTATTTATTTGACAGAGAGAGAGAGAGAGAGAGAGATCACAAGTAGGCAGAGAGGCAGGCAGAGAGAGAGGAGGAAGCAGGCTCCCCACTGAGCAGAGAGCCCAATGCGGGGCTTGATCCCAGGACCCTGAGATCATGACCTGAGCCAAAGGCAGAGACTTAACCCACTGAGCCACCCAGGCACGCCCACAGCTTTCTTCTTTATGATGGAGCTGGCTGTGTACTTTTACTACATTAGTCACGAGTATACTACATGCGGAGTCCTCTGTGTCCGTCTAATGCGACTCTGAATGTGAAGGGTGATCTTGGGGACTCGTCAAACGTACATCTAAAATGTAAGCTTTGGAGAGCCAAAGGCTCAATGCACTGCTCTGCCCCTAGTGCTTAGAACAGTACCCGGTACACAGCTGTTATAAATATCTACCGAAAATAAGTACATTTTCCTTCATTCTCCTTCTTCATTACTCCCGTATCTGACAGAAAAGAGTATCAGCGAAAAGGGGGCTTTCAGAGGCCTTACATACTATAGTTTAGTATGAAATGCAGTCTGCAATATATACCCAACTCGTTAGTGTAAAGTACCTTCTTTTAACTTTGAAGTTGGCCTGAGGCTGGGATGGGCCAGTGAGATTAAGGAGAGGGTTTCCACTCAAAATGTTTTCCATACGTATTCTTTCTTCTTCAGCTTTCTGTTCTTGTTCCTGTCAATGACAGAGGAGGACTCGTTTACTTACATTAATTCTGGGGTCAATCTTCTTTTTATGAGGGAGAAAGAATGAGCATTAAGGTAGGAGTTTGTTTAAGATATAAGATATACCAGAGAAGTCTCACCTATCAAAATAATTTGGTCTTCTTATTACAAGTATTTCATGCTTGTCATCATACATTCATTAGTCTGACTCAGAAATTCTATGAATGCATATTTAAATCTATTTTCTTTCTTAAAGTACATGTAAAATTAATTGCCCATTTTAAGAGTACATCAATAAATATATTCTAGTAATAAGACTATATTAAACATCAAAGAGACAGTTAGCAAAGCTATTACGTGATTTTTAAAGATGACCTATATACAACTATGATTAAAAATAATTTTATCTTGAATTATTAACAATGTAAATTTGTAGCTCCAGGACTAGTAACAATTTATTATTGGCCAAGAAGTAGCTCCTAAGATAAACTATCATGTAACATATATTCCATTAACATGCATTTCTACTAACTGACCCTAGATCTATCCATTTTGTTATGATTTGTTGTTACCAACTTTCCATTTTTATGTCATTCATCCTTCATCAGTTACAAGCTTGTCTTTCTTCACTTTTAATTTAGCTTTAAACTCAAATCACCCTCAGCTTCATTCTTAGAAATAAAAAATGCCTGGAATTCTTAGCCATTAACTGCTAGATCTACCTGTTAATGCTATCTTAAAACAAAAATAAATTCCATTTTATTGTATTTGAGGAAGGACAAAAATTGATGACTTAATGGATCAAGGAAAAAGAGACTTTCAATTTAAAATGAACCTAACAGTGGCACCTCGGTGGCTCAGTGAGTTAAGCAGCCAACTCCTGACTTTGGCTCAGGTCATGATCTCAGAGTTGTGAGATCAAGCCCCACATCAGGCTCCACCCTCAGCATGGCGTTTGCTTTGGATTCTCTCCCTCTCCCCCTGTCTCTCTCCCTCACCCCGCTCACACTCTCTCTCTGAAATAAATAAATCTTAAAATAAATAAATAAAATGAACCTAAGAAAGTTTTAGACCACTTGGAAAAATAACCCAATTTTCCATATAACTAATGATATTTTAATATCCAAATGTGAACAACAGATTTCTTTTTTTTTTTTTAATTTTTTTCTGGACCCCAGATAACTTTTTTTTTTTAAGATTTATTTATTTATTTGACAGACAGAGATTACCAGTAGGCAGAGAGAGAAAGAGGAGGAAGCAGGCTCCCTGCTGAGCAGAGAGCCCAATGCAGTCCTGGGATCATGACCTGGGATCATGACCTGAGCAGAGGCTTTAACCCACTGAGCCACCCAGGCGCCCCAACAGATTTCATTTTTAAGAGACCAAATAACTGGGATGGGAGAAGATGCAATACTCAGGGAAATTCCTTTGAGGTCACCACTCAAAGGAAACAAAGCAAACAAAGCAAACAAAATCAGAATATCCACTATAGATTAAGAATAGATAGCTTTCTAAAAACTATGTATTTTTAACAATTTATATTGATGTTGAAAGTGAAAAGACATTTCTCTGAGATGCTAGAAAAATAAAAGCTCAAATATACAATGTATCCAACTTATAATAATAATAACATGTGATGTAATAAAGTTTTGGCCATTTTATATTTCAATGTATTTCCTTTAGAATGCTGGCTGCCTATCACACACAGCCCTGGAAAAAAAAGGTGCCAACTCTTTCCATATTCAAGTACCAGGCACATTATGGTTCACAAATATAGGCTAATAATCAGCCTGCAGATCAAATCCAAACCACCCCATTTTTGTTAATTATGTTTTACTGGAACAGACAGTCATACTCATTCATTTCTATATTGTCTACAGCTATTTCCATGCTACAGCGAGCAGAGCTGACGAGCTGCATGAGAGACAGCACGCTCTGCAAGCCTGACATATCCTGAAATATTTGCCATCTGGGCCTTTACAGAAAGCTTCGTAGCCCCTGACATAGGCTGACTGGTTCGAAAATATTTTGGGACACCTCAAGACTTAGCCACCAGAAAAGCAGACGGACAACAGGAATAAAAGCAAAACTGTCTTTCAACCCCTGGAAATACCAACGTGTTTTTGTACAAAGAGAGTAGAGGAATCTTACAAAATTCCAAGACCTTCTGTCTAAAATGCTTATTCTCCCTAAGGGTCAACCAAATGCACTTGAACTGCCTATGTATCCAGAACTGTCAGGCAAGCCAAAAGAATCAGGAATAGAACAACTGCCCTCTAGTGGTATACAAGTGATATTAGGAAAGTTCTTAGAATTCTTTTCATTTTTAAAAATTAGATGAAGACAATTAGAAGGTATTATGGGAATTATGCTATCCTATGCCAAACTTTGATGGAAATTATACTTAAAATATTCTTCTTCCAATTTGAATTCTAGCAATCTTCTACTTCCTGAGACTCCTCACATGAACCCAAGTCAGTGGGTTCCCCCTCTTTAAACAGAACAATTCTTGGTTCAAATGAAAACTTAAAAACAGAAGCTCATTTAAAAAAAGATGAGCTGTTCTGTTTGAAAGTGGACAGACATCTCCATCTGAATGTCTCATAATGTGTCAAATTCAACATGTTCCAAACAGAGCTCATCATCCCTTTTCTCTCCATCTAAACATAGGCATCCTTCTGCCATCCCCCCCATTAGTGAATGTCAGCTGGAAACTAGGGGTCATCTTTGCTGCCACATCTAATCAGTCACTTTATCTGGTCAATTTTACTTCTCTGACAGCTCTATCAGCCTCTATTTACTTCTCTCAATTCCAATTCCTTTTATGCAAAATTACCTTAATTGCATGTGAGGGTTATTGGAACATCTTTCTCAATCAGTTCTCCCAATCCAACCTCCATACTTCTGCCAGAGTAATCTTTCTAAAATGCATATCCAAGTAAATGACTATTAAATTTATTACTCATATTTTTCTGTATTACTGAAACATTTCCTAATAAAAACAAAATAATAAAATGCATATCCAGTCTTACCATACTCCTGCTGAAACCAACTAGCTCTTCTTGGCCTTAAAGACAGAGTCCAAACTCCTTTAGCATGGGCTTATGAACCTCTACTGTTCTGACCTGCTCTTGCTCACCTGTTTCATCTCTTTTTGTTATGACTATGACAAATTCATCTAAAGTTTAAAGGTATGTACTATGGATCCTATGTAATTCTTTTTGAGATAGACATTCTTTTCTTTCATTGTATAAATGGAGATTAATTAGGTAAACTGCCCTAGGTTATAGAAAATCTATTGACAGACTGCACAAAAAAATGCCTGGAAAGAAGGCTGGAAGCAGAAGACAAAGACATAAGATGGCCTCATTATATCCATGGTTTCTTTGTAGACCATGATTATATCGAATCCATCTTTAATTCTTCTGACACTTAATGGACAATGATTAAATGTCTGTTGAACAAATGAACAAGTGAATGAAAAACAAACTGATGAACATTATGAAGCATGCCTGAACTATTTGGAAATAATTTCTAACATAACCAGGAAAATTAGGATGTTGCGAAAAAAAAATAAGATTTCTAGATCTATAGGTGCTCTAGTATCTAGACATGGCAAGGGCAATTTCGACTGTAAGATGATATTACTTAAATTAAAATATATTCGTAGTTTAGAATGAAAGAGAAAGTGCAAATACATAATATTCTGATTTTTACCTTCCTGGCCTGCTCTTCAGCTCTTTCTTTTTTAATTTTTTCTAGTTCTGCAAGAAGAGCTGCAGTATCATCATCATCACTCTCCTCTTCAAAATCTTCATCTTCGTCTTCCTCCTAAAAAAGTATTATGATAGCCCATGAGAAAATACATGTTATTCCTTATTTTTCCCATAAAAATTACACTCATCAAATCTTTGGGGAAAGATTAATCTTCCTATATGGAAAGATAAATGCACCTAAATATGATTAAGGTCAACCATCAACCAAAATATAAAATGAAACCCTACAAACAAGCTTACAGAATTCTTACTAAAATGTCCCTGAGATGCTACAGAGATTATAACAGCAAAAGTGTAACAAAGTATTCTTCAAGTTTACATGGTCAAAGGGGATTTACATATGAAAATATTTCTAAAATCAGACATGGAACACTTTACACTGATCATACTGTACAGACGTACACGGTGTATCATCCTGAGAGTCAAGCAATTTTACTAGCTCAAAAAAAAACAACTTTTAAGCAAGGAAATAAGGATAATCAAAAGTACAAAAAATGGTGCTACATTCTCAGAATAATTTCAAACAATTATTAAATCCCATTTAAAACTGGGTTCCCTTTAATTACTGAGTTAATTATTTAATTCAATCTGTCAACTCTGGAATTAATTGCTGATACATGTACTTAGATGCATCCGATGAAAGGCCAGTCATGTTCTCCCACTCTATGTACAAAACTGCAAACTATAGAATTTAATGTTAATTGAAGCACTAATCCTAAAAAGAACTTCCACTTAGATCACTTCCCTTCCTAAGAAGAGGGAGCCATTAAGTTGCACACCTAGAGGGGGGACCTTTGGTATCTAATGTGGAAAGGTCTCTAAGTTTGACTCTTGGGGGTGCTATTACTGATAAGAGACCCTAGAATAAAGAATGCCCTCTGGAGGTAGAGAACATGGTCAACTTCCAGGGTTTAGTATGGGTAATTATTTTTGGGAGAAGCTTTTCCTTTAATAGATCACTTTTTTATTTGGTTGTCCAGAGATCAAACTTTAGCTTAAAGTTTAATTACTCTTGTGATGAATAATACTTTTTCTTTAAAAATCAACCATAAAGCTTAGCATTGAAGTCAGGACTACATTTGAATAATAGTAAGTAAAAATAAATATAGGCCACTTCTTAAAGCCAAAAAATAAAACAAGCATTTCAGAAAACATAATAAATGAATTACTATGTGGAGATCAACAGAGGAAGTAAAACATACATCCGTTAGAGGATCATCTGCATCAAGGTTGGCAGCCGGAATCTGGTCTAATCGAGGTTTCTTTGATACTGAAGAGGAGGTTGTATGTTCTGGGGGAAAACAAATATCACTTAGCTTACTAAAATAAATACTGTCTTTTTTGTAACATTTTAGGGACCTGTGGGAACAAAGAGCTTAGATTATAACCAAGACAGCACAGACAGGAGCCACAGTGCCTGACATGTGCCCTTGGTCAACATTTGTTGAATGAATTCATGAAAGTATTGATTTTAATATGGGAACCATAGCCTCTCTGAGGAAATATGGGAAAAGAGTTTAAATATGCTGAAAATATAAAAAAGATACTATAACTTATGCCTCTAGATGTGTTTCAAAAGCCAGTGACAAATATATGAGACCCTCTGAGACAGAAAACACAGGGTCTCAACAAGTCTGGTTGCTGTCAACAGTCCAAACCTTTAGAGGTACCTGGGTGGCTCAGTCAGTTAAGCGTCTGATATTGATTCTGGGTTAGGTCATGATCTCAGGGTCCTGGGAACAAGACCCACAGAGCAGCATCAGGCCTCCGGCTGGGTGTGGCTCTGCTTGAGATTCTCCCTCTGCTCTCTGTCCCTCCCCCTGCTCATATGTGCATGTGCACTCATGCTCTTAAATAAATAAATAAATAAATCTTAAAAACAAAAAAAAACAAAAAAACACTTTTATGTAAACTGAAATAGCAGCTGCCAGTTATCCCCAAATCATCCTGTTCTTTCTACTACAGCAGCACAAAGAGATGGAACTGGAATCAACCTTGTTATCACTTCTAATCCAATCAATTAAGAAAGTGTTAACAATATCTTAAAGCAAATAATACTTAAAATTTATACCATTTTATTTTTTGATTTTTTAAAGATTCTATTTATTTGATGGAGATCACAAGTAGGCAGAGAGCCCGATGCAGAAATAGATCCCAGGACCCTGATATCGTGACCTGAGCCTAAGACAGAGGCTTAATCCACTAAGCCACCCAGGCGCCCCTACACCAACATTTTAAAGCAAGCAAACAAAAATATTAATCAGTTCCAATTAGTAAATTAAAGAAAAACTGTTTTCAACATATTTCATGAGACGAATGTCTGGGGGCAGTGTTGGTACCTCGTGTTGGACGATCTCTATTTTTTTCTCTTGCAGCAGCTCGCTCTCTCTCTTCCAGCTCTCTCCTGAAGTCACGGTTGCGAACCTCTTCAGGGGCATCCTGAGTAGTTTGTCTCAAGTAGAAACAAATCAGCAAAAATGTTACTAAGAAAACACATGGCTGTAGCAATGGAAGACAATTCACAAAAAGCAACCCTGTTCTTTAGTCCCTCAAGTTTCAAGGTACTAAACAAGCCCATTCCCCTAAGGGTAAGGTTACAACAGGCATCCTTGTAATGTTTCCAATATTTCAGATAACCCAAACCGGGTCACATATTTTCCCATAAGGCTGCAGATTAATTCAAATGTCTTTATTTTTTATTGGTGTATCAACTCAGGGCTCATTACTGTGACACTTTTAATCTCATATTGACTAGTGCTAATAGTGCACTGGCCCTCTGAGGTCATTGTTATTGTGCCATATACATATGGAAATTCCCAGTTAACAGGATTTTCTGCATAAGTAATATACAATAACTTTTATAAAGAGCATAATTTTAATGTCAAACACTCTACTGCATTCTACTCCTATGAAAATAGATAATTTAGGTGATATACCCCAAACACGCTACAATGTCACGAGCATGCCATTTAATAGATTTAGTCTTGTCTTCTGAACAAGAGAATAAAAAGTCTTCATTACCTATATTTTATCTTTGTATGAGAAGGTAGGTCTCTACTCGAATACTGCTTTGAGAGTTGGCTCAAATCACCTTCTCCTTTTCCTCTCCCACCTCTCGCAGGTTCAAACGTTGGCCTGGCTGCTGTTGTCATCTTTTATGCTTTAAAGGAAAACTGTATCAAGTTATTTCCAAAATGAAAACCCCTCATTTCATAAAGTATTAATAAATATTCATCCTTGTGAAATAATTCCCAAAACTCACTCCCCCAAAATTACTTAAATAATCTCAAGCAAAAGTACTGAAGAAAACAAATAACGAAGCTCAGGGTACAGAAGGAATACAGCTTCTTAGGCAGCTCTTATCTAGTGCAAAAACTTCTCTCATGAAGATCTGAGTTTGTGTTCCTGTTCTCCTTCTGTCTCTGTGGCCCTGGGCAAGTGATCGAGATTAAGTTTCTGTGGAATGGGCAATGTCCCTCACAGGATTATTATGAGAATGGAAATGTCAAAGCCATGTAAAAATTTGGTACTGCCACGATTGGGTTTTTGAAAAATTCTCAACCCTACTCCACCAGACGTCTCAAGGTTTGCATTTTATCTAAACCTCAATTCTCTGAAAACAGAAAACAGGCTAGTAACTACAAAAACAAAAGTTGTTTTAAAGTCACTGACAAATACTGAGTGTCCTGGGGAAAACTGTGCTAAACTTTAATGACACGTACATGTGCAAAAATTCCCCAAAAATCTTTCGTTCGTCCAATTTTCTTCTATAGCAACCACTATAATATAAATCAGATCTTTTGTAGGTTATAATGCTCAAGACAGGAAACTCATCCCCAAAGGAGTCTGATAAGCAAAACTCAGGGACCTATTTCTTATGTTACTTTTGATCTGGGGCTGCCAGATACAGTGCCTAGCAGATGTGGCGACTGAAGTCCCGTTAAGCGTCCAAACGGTGAGCGTGCAGGGAAGCTGGGGGAACCCGTGCACTTCTCTAGATTTTTCAAAAAGGGAAAAGGGGTCTATGCGGAGGTAGAAACTGCGTTTCCTGCCGCTGGGGGCGCCGCCGCCCGCCCACACACTCCCGGATTTTTATCACTCCCGCCTCCCGGGGGCTCGCCTTCGGGCTGTTACCAGAAATTCGCTGACTCTTCACCCAAAGGCCCGACTCGTAGGGGGCTCGGGGGTGGAGGGGTGTGGACGCTGTTTAGCGCCGTCCGCAAAGCTGCCCTCGCGCTCCGCGGCCGGCCGGAGACTCGCTGGGCTCTACCACCGCCCGCCGCTCCGGGGCTTCCACCGCCCGCGCCCGGTTCTCTGTTGCCGACTCCGACCCCAACCTTCTGTCCCCGCCCCACTCGGACGAGAGAATCAATCTGCCACCCTCCTGCCGCTCACGTCGGCCGAGGTCTAAGGCGACAGCCTCCGCAAATCATACAGACACCATTACGACTCATACCTCCCAGAGGCCTCTGCGTCCAGGGCCAGGGCCCAAGACCCGGAAGCAAATCCCAAGCTCTTTCACCGCACTTCAGAGGCAGAGACGGAGACCAATCCGCAGCAGGCAAGGTGGAAGTCGGCGTGACGACACCAAGGGGCGGGGCCGAAACGGCCCAGGGGGCGGGCATTTGAAATCACTGCTTTAGAGTAGACCCTAGACATCATTTTATACCTTCAGGAACCAATTACTTAATGTGTCTTCCGTCTTTCCCTTCCCCGACCCCCTCCCAGACTCCTTCATTCCGGTGCTGCGTGGACGGAAAGCCCCGGGTAGCCGACACCAGGTTCCCGGCTAGCGAGAGAGAGCGTAGAGAAGGATTACACCAAACTGTGTAAATCCTACGGCTCCTGCTTCCTCTCTCCTGAGCTAGACCCAACAAGCCTAGAGAGCTGGGCTACGGAAAAACTAGTGTTTTCATTTAATTGGATATGAAGAAAGAACAAATATGTACGGGGGCAACCACGATCTTTACAAAGGTACCATTCCTGCAAAAATATTAGTCCTCAAAGCAAAGGTTGTATTCGTATTGTTTGTTAAAATTTCTATTTTTAAAAAAGCCTAAGTTCTAGTGGGAGGGGAGATGTCACTATTTAGAGATTCATTTATTAACCCGATTATGAGCGTTTAGAACGCTGGGCCCAACTGCCAGAAGCACGAGATGCAGTTATTACAAGATGGCTACTCAACCGTTAGGTGAACTTTTAATAAGACAACGAACAGGGGGGAAAGAAGTCACCGATCATCCTTCCTCCCTTTCCCAAAAAGCTCTAGGAGCAGGGCTTTTGTTTGTTTAGTCCATCTCGTTATCTCATGGTTTTTGACCACAGTAGATGCTCAATAAATATTTATTAAACAAATGAAAATTCAGCTCTTCCAACTTGGTTTCAAATGTAAAGAGCTCATAAAATTGAATTAAAAGCTTTATTTCCAGAACGCTTTGAAACTTACAATTTTTTTTTTTTTTGAAGTAGAGCCCTTACCCTTATAAAGTTCAGGAGGAAGATCTTAATTTTGTTAAGGAAGGTATTTCTCCCCTGGTTTTATACATCTCAGTAAAGGACACTACCATGTACAAGTTAGTAAACCAAAACCCCAAGGCTCCTAATTAAATTCCTTATTCTTTACTCTTCACATCTGGTTTATTTGCAAGACTTGCCAATTTTACTCTCATTACCCTAAATTTCATTCCACTGCCACTACCCTAGTTCAGGCCACCAAGATTTTTCACCTGGATTGCAATTGCTCCCTAATGGATCTTCCTGCTTCCACTTTGGCCCACATACAGTTAATTTTGCATGTAACAATGAGGGTGATCTTTGAAAATTATGAATTAGGGAGTGTTACTCTCCTGCATAAAAGCCCACTGCACTTAGAATAAAAGTCAGATTCCTTAATGTGTCCTGAGACCCTATGGGGTCTAGTTCCTGCCTATCTCCCTGACTTCATTTTTATTTAGACACTCTCTTCCGTATTAAACTCGAGCTACAGCCAACAGGGTGTTTCTGTTTCACAAACAAGGATAAGATTTATTTGCACCAGGTTTTCTCTGTTGCCTGTGCCTCAAGATAACTGTGGTAATCTCCTTCAAGCCTCAGCTCAAATGTCACCTAGTCGGTGAGGCTTTCCCTGACCTCTTCATCCCTCCGGCGCACCGCCCCCCCCCCCCCCACCGCACCCCTGACATGCAAATACCATCATGTGGCCCTGGGTTTTGTTGTTTATTTTTATTTTTTTGTAGTACTGAACTCTACCAAAATATATTCTGTTTATTGTTTCTCGCCTTGTTTCTTCTCCAAGACGCAGAACAACAGTCATTTAAGAGAAAGGGATCTATAGCCTGACTTGGTACTAAATTCCAGGTGTGCCTTTTCCTGACTGTTCAGCCTTGCCAGAAAGGGAAAGTTATTTTCCCTTTTTGTGCCCTCAAGTGTCCATTGCATAAAATGGGGATAATTCTAGTCTTTACCACTTATTGTTATGATAAGGCTTAAATGAATGAACACTTGTAAAGTGCTCAAAACAGTCTCAGCAAAGAGTAGTTGCAAAATTAATGTTAGCTACTATTATTATTAATATTATTTTATTATTATTGTTTATCTTCCTATTCTATTAGAACATAAGTTCCAGGAAAGCAGGAACCTTGTCTCTCTTGTTCACTGGTGTATCCTCTGCATATAGAACAGTGCCTGGCACATAATAGGTGCTGAGTAAGTATTTGTTGAATGAATGAGTGAATGAATGATTGATGCACTCTGAGGTGGAGGAATGAAGTAACAAGGGCAAGTGGGCACACAGTTACAGAAGATACCCCTGGTTTTGATGTTCCAACTCCCCTTATTAGCCCCGAGTCAGTCACGCTGATTCATTTCTCTCTTAGCCCACCACCTAATCTTTGGATCACCACGATTAAATAATCACCCGACATACAACATGATCAGCCCACAAAATGAAAAGCTTTGACTTAAAACGGTCTGAAAGTATTAATTAGAAAACAAACTTAAAAAGCTTTTCCTTAAGTGATTTTAAAGTACTAATAAATGAAACTAAAAGCCTTTGACTTAAATGGTTTGAAAATATTAGCAAAAGAAACTAAAAGTTTACCAAAAACTTAAAATTCACCTTATTAGCTATCTTTCCTAGCAAAAATCGTATATAGCCTCCCGAGAATTCTCCTTTGAAACCCATTACCACAGAAATCCAGTTGTGCCCTCAATTCTGCTTGCCAAACCACTTATACTCTTCTAATTGTTTTATTTTCCTGCTCTGCAATGATAGAATTTCCCACATTCCCTTCTTTCTTCAAATCTACGCCCCTCTTCCACCCTCTTTTCCCTTCTCATCCTCTTCCTGAGGAATGGATGATCTTCTGACTTCTCTGGGAAAATAAAAGTTCTTAAATAAGGATTTCTCATGTGCTCTTCAGCAGGTCTAGCAAGCTGCCTATGACTGCGCCCATACCCTCAGCTTTCTGTGGGTTAGTAGAGAGAGATGAGGTGGCCTAAGCCCTCTCCCTTATGGTCTGGGTCCCAATCCCTCCCAACCTTCTTATTAACTGGCATCCTGCTATATTTTCTCTCTCCTATAATCTATGAATCCATCCCTTCTAGATTGTCTTACCAGGTTTTGGATATGATGTAATATAGCTTAACCTTAAAAACTCCTTCATTTTAAGGACAAAGGTAGGATTTTAATTCAGTGTGAAAAGGATGTTTTATATAATAACTATGTCTGCAAAACTGACTATCCTTGTAGCACGATGTAATGTAGGAGTTCCAGCTTCAAAGCTTCCACAGAGAGGTGCCTGGGTGGCTCAGTGGGTTAAAAGACTGCCTTCAGCTCAGGTCATGATCCTGGGGTGCTGGGTTCGAGCCCCATGTTGGGCTCTCTGCTCTGTGGGGTGCCTGCTTCCTCCTCTCTTTGCCTGTCTCTCTGCCTACTTGTGATCTCTCTGTGTCAAATAAATAAATAAAATCTTAAAAAAAAATTAAAAAAAAAGCTTTTACAGACACTATGTCCTGCTGAATTAAATATCCAAAAGGAAAAAAGAAACCTTAAAAATCTAAGAAACTTAAGAACTAGTTGTATAGCCTAGAGTTTGTAAAGATCATTTGAGCAAGGCAGAACACCTAAGAGCTATAAAAGAAGTAATTGTAAAAATTTATCTATACAAAATTTTAATATTTTTGCAGAAGATGTTCAAAATAAAGTCAAAAGATGAACAGGTAAATTTTGTAATGCCTATAATGTATAAAAGGTTACTACTACTGCTACTACTAATACAGTAATATAACACACTAATATACTAATATAACAAAATACAAATAACCCAATAAAAAAAATGGGCACGGAATATAAACCAGCCATTCAAAGAAATCAATTCCAAAGAAACAATAAGTATAAAATACATGCAACCTCCCTGTGAGGAAAATGAAAGTAAACCAATAATGAATTATCACATTATAGTATCAGATTGGCAATAATTTTTAAAAATTAACAATACAATTGTATGGGATCGGGAGAAAAGGGGATCTAGTTAGACAACAGGCATTGGCTCCCTATTTCTCTCATAGTAAAAATAAAAGGTGCTCACAGTCACCTGCAAGACTCTCCCCTACCTAACTGATTTCCTCGCTTGCTCATGCCTCTCTAGGCTACATGCCTTCCTGGAGCTATTGCTCATAGCTCCTGCCTTAGGGCCCTTGTATTAGCTATTCCTTGGCCGAGAGCCCTCTTACTTGTCTTATTCAGGTCTCTGTTTAAATGAGGTCACCCAACCGTGACAGCCCTATTTAAAGTTGCGACCATCCTCCCCTTTGGTCCCCCAACATCCTGTACTCCTTATCTTGCTTATTCTGCTATGCTTTTTTTATTTTACATAGCATGTATCATCTTCCATGATCCTGTGTAATTTAAGTTATGTGTATTATTTCCTTCTCTACCTATTCCATGTAAAATACAAATTCTACCAGAGCAGAATCTTTGTTTATCCCAGTGATGTAGGCCAAGCATCTAAAATAGTGCCTGACACCAAGAGGTGCCCACAAATTTTTTCCAAATAAGTAAATGAATGAATGGATGGATGAATAAATGAGTGAGATGGTGAGTGAATGAATTTTAAGAAGAAAAAAATCACATTTTGATGAAAAAAGTTGTTGCCTTAATCTCTTTTATATTTTAAAGGAGAAAAAAGTAATTTACATTCGGCTAGTCTGAAATCCAGGTTTGACATGAAGATACGCCAAGAAAGATGGTTTCTTTTCAGGAAAGAATCACTAAATGAGAAGTCATATGGCTATCAGGCTATATATGTATTATCAAAATTCTAATTCGGTCAGCCCTACCCCCAGTCCAATCACAACTGTAATTTAACCCAACCTCCCTCTTCTTTCAATTGAATCATTGTCCCCAATTCCAGTAAACCCTCTTGTTTACCAAGTTACCAACCCACAAGCTGAAAACTTTACTTGAAAATGTTTCCTTGAGGCTTTTAATAAGAAAATGAAGGGGAAAAACCCAGTGGTCACAAGACAGAAATCACATTTAAAAGTAAACATAAATATATAAACATAATGGTATTTGTTTAAATTTTTTAGGTAGAAAATGATCAATTTTCTAAGACGAAAGCTGAAACTTTGTTTTGACAAGAATAGGGAAAAAAAGTAGCTTGCCTTACACCAACAAATTCCTGATTTTAAATGAAGGTGCTCTGGGGCCCGGACAGATGACCCAGCTTCAAAATGAAATTTGCTGCTGGTCCAGGCTAGCTTACTAGATAATAGTACACTTTAACTACCTTTTACATAATCTGAGCATATGGCTACCTCATTAGTTGGCCAGCCCATAATTATCTAGATAGTTAAAAATGAACATATTAAAAAACAGTTAAAACTAAGCAACTAAAATGGGGAAAAATAGACAGGCATACCAGGCAAATTCTAAGCAATTCCAACCAAAAACTATGTAGCAACATGAATTATCAAAAGGATTTTTTAAACAGAATAGCATTAACAAAGACATGAATAGGGCCATCTTTATCGAATCATAAAGAAAAATCCACTAGGAAAATATTACGGTCATGAAAATGTATGCAACTAACTACATAGTCTGGAAAAATAAAGCAAAAATAAAGAATTAAAAGGAAAAACACAATTACAATGGGAATTTTTTTAAAGGACATTTTTCTCAGATTGATAGGTCAAGCAGACAGATTAACAACATTGATGCATTGTGTGTATAGATAAATATCCTTATTGCATTTAATATGCATATATATTTGTATATTGCATTTATAGGTTTATAGATTTATAGAAAATCCTTTAAAACAAGAGAACACACATCATATTTAATAAACATTGAAGATTTACAAATTTTAATCAAATAGCACCCAAATAAGTTTCAATGAATGCTTATATATATTTCTTAATGATAATATTTAGTTTTGAAAATTTTGAACTTTATGTAAGTGTTCAAAATGTTTATATGAATGAATTATGTATATTGTGTAGCTGTAGTAGACTACATAGAATTTCATTGTGTAAAAATACACAATATATGTTATTTATTCTAACAGTTATGTTTTCCAGTATGGGTGTTACAAATAAGGCTACTATGAACCTTCTTGTGAATGTGCAGAGATGCATGTGTGTACATTTCATTTGTATATATCCCATTCTTGTTCTTGTTCCATAGTTGCACCACACTTGATACTATCCAGCTTTCCACTCGCCTGTTGGGTGATAGTAATCTCTTATTGAGGTCTGAATTTGCATTTTCTTGATTACCAGTCACTTTACATATGTTTAATGTCCATTTGGATTTCTTTTGTGACGTATCTCTTTAAGTCTTTTTTCTATTGGTTCCTCGGAGCTCTTAATACCTTAGGCGTCAGTTCTGTCACTTATTTGTGCTACATGTGTATTTTCCATTTCTTGGCTCCTCATTTTGGTATATTTTGACATATAAAAAGTCTTTAATATTTGGGTATTTTGATTCATTGGTCTTTTCCTTTCTATTTAGTGCATGGTATTGAGAAATCTTCCCTACTTTACAGTTATATAAATATTTTTGGATATTATTTTCTGAAAGTCTTATAGTTATAGCCTACATAGTCCCACTAGGAATTCATTTTTGTGCATAGTGTGACAGAGGGGTCTTGAAATCTGGTAAAGCAAGTCTTCTAGTCTTGTCTCTCTTTTATGATTCCTGGCCCTTTGTGCCTCAGTATAAAGTATGTATGTTCTACAAAAATACTTTTGGGATTTTGATTAGAATAACATTGAATCTATTGATCAATATAAGAAGAATTGACAATTCAACAATATTGAATCTTTAAATCTATTAATACGTTATGTCTTTCGATTCACTTAAGTCTACTTTAATTGCCCCTAAGTAATTTGTGTTACTATCTTTACAGAAGACTTGCAAAATTTTGTTAGCTTTAGCCTCAGCCGCTTAATTTTTAATACTATTGTAAATGGCCTTGTTCTTAAATTTTGCTGTCTAATTGGTGCTGGTATATATAAATTGTTTTTTATATATTGCTATTTTAAATTCAGAGACCTTTCCAAACCCTCTTATTAATTAAAATAGCTTATTTATAGGTCTTTTGGATTTTTCACATATGCAGTGTTATCTGGGAATAATGACAACTTTGTTTCTTCTTTTCCAATCTTTCCCCTCCCCCTCTTTTTTTTCTTTGATGTCTTAT